TCCCCCTATCCCCGCCTCGCAGGCGAACCGATCGGAGCTCGGCAGGGCGGCCCAGTCCCCGGCAGGATAAAATAGCGAGCCATGATGTGGGACGAACCCCCCCCCCCCCCCCCCCGCTCTCGTGGGGAGGCAACCTTAAAAAGACGCTTTTATAGTGGGACGATTATTTGCTGCCGCTGCCGCTGCCACGGCTGCTAGCACGAACGGTTGCTCTCTCCTGTGCTTGACCTCTGCAGCCCTCCCATGTTGTCAAGAACATGCCTCGGGCCTTCAATGTCCCTGGCCACACGAGGGGCTGCGGTGTTGGAAAATTATGCCCAGTCCTTACCGAATATGTCCAGGGCCCTTTTTCTCGCGGAGAATAATGGCTGCCCCCTCTGATCGGCCCAGCTTTGCCTCTTTCAGCCGTGGGCGGCCGGGAGGGCGGGGGGGGGGACTCGAGCCGCACGTAACTTGCCCCCTCCCCCCCCCCCCCCTGGGGCCCGCCGTTCTCCCCGTCCCGCCTCCTTCTCCGAGTCGTGGGGCCTTTTTCGGTCGACCGGCGGACTGCTGTACAGAGAAGAAAACGGACCCGAGCCGATTGTGATCACACCACACATCGCGTGATCCACATCGCAGAACTAAACACCCCCCAGGATTTTCGCCTATCCCTTCTTTGGTCTGGCTATCGGAATAGACAGACGTGCTGCTTGGGGATGCACGTCGAAAGGAGCCACCAAGAAAAAGGGTCATCAGAAGATGCGGGTAGACCGTTCGCCTCTTCTGCGACCTGCAACTTGGACCAGGCGGCCGAGACACCGTCTCCCCTGGATGTCAGTGGAGCCTTGCCTTTTTTTTTTGTGCCATGTTCCCCGAGAGTCCCTTGTGTATGTTGTGGTGTCCCCCCGCCCACCACCAGGACGGTGGGTGGGGGGGCAGCTGTACCTGGAGCCCGGCGTGAGCGGCGGGGAGCGGAGGACGGGCGGAACGGGGCGTGAACTGCCCGGCAGGGGACGTCTCCACCCGGGGGGGGGGGGGGGGGGGGGGGGCCGCGCTGCGGGGGGTGGGTGCGGGGGGGGGGCGGCCGCTTCTTGGAGGGGGGGGGGGGGGGGGGGGGGGGGGGGTGCTCACCGGCAGCGGTTCCAGGGGCGGGCTCTTTTCGCGCAGGGGAACCAATCAGCGTGCTCCATCGGTGTGCACTTTCCGGTTCCCTCGCCGAGCAGCCACCACTCCACGAATCGGCGGTCCGGTTCGATTCACTTCGGCCCGGCCCGGCTCGACTCAACTGGGCCTCGCGGGGTGGCGCTGGGCATTCTCCTCCGTGTGTGTGTTTGACAAGCCGCGGGCAGGACTGCTCTTGACACAAGCGGCAGGCCTCCGGCACTTGAGCTGGTGTTCGTCGGGGGGCGGAGGGGCCCCACTCACAAGCGGGCAGCACTAGCCTGGGGGGCCTTTGGTTTGCGGGGAGAGGGACGGGGGGGGGGGGAGGCAAAAAAGGGATGCACCCTCCAGCTCGTGAGCCTCTTCCGGCTCCCCTCGCCAACTACAGCCGGCTTTCGTTTCATCTCCCGAAACGCGCCTCCTCCTCCCCCCAACACCTCTTTTCCCTCTCTTTTCTCCCCTGTGCGCGCCTCCCCCCTCTCAGACCATCCAGCCTCATCCCTTCTTTCCTTCCCCTCTCCCCCCCCCCCCTGCCGTCATTGTCCCCGATGAATCCCTCATTTCCCCTGACATCCAGTCCCCTTCCGCCCGTGTGAAGCCTGCCACCATGGATCACCTTGAGCCCTACTTCGATGCTCCGCGCCAGTTCTACCTCGACAGCCAGCGCCTCATCCGGTCCTGCACCAAGCCCACGCGCGAGGGTTCGTTCTTGCTTTTGGCCCCTCCTTGCCCCCTTCCAGCCTCTCACCCCCTTCCCTGCGTCTACCACCCCACCTCCCTATGCGCATGCATGCGTGCGCACACGCACACGCACACAGAGTACATCAGCATGACCCAGGCCGTTGCCATCGGCTTCCTCGTCATGGGCTTCATCGGCTATATTGTCAAGCTCGTCCACATCCCCATCAACAATGTTATCGTGTGCGTTGTTGCCTATCTTTCCGCCTCGTCCCCCCCCCCCCCTGCCCCTTTCGATGTTGCTGGGGCGTGCACATTCAATTCGTTGCCAATGCTGCCCCCTTGTCTGACCCCCTTTCTCCGCCCTCCCACCTCTGCTCGCCTTTTCCAGTGGTGCTTAAGTACACCCCCCGCTCCTTCATTGCCCTTTCCCATGTTATCATGTGTGTGTGTGTGTGCGTGTGCGACGTGTCGAATGCCCTTCCTTCGCCGCCATCGTCACCACCACCGCCCCTCCCTCCCCTCGCTGCCAAGAGGATGGCCATGTGCGAGTGCGTGGGTGCACACACACATACACACGCATGCCAGCACATCGCCATGTGTCGACCTCTGCCCATGCGAACACCGATGGATCCTCCCGCCACAGGGGGTCCTTCAGCCTCCCCTCCCTTTTTGGGATTGTCCTCCTCTCTTTTGCTCCCCACCTGCCGTGTATAGCCCCTCCGACGTGCGCGCCGGTGGGATTGTCCCACGAAAAATATACAAATCAAAGATAACGTCAACAACGCCTAAAGGCGACTGTGTGTGTGTGTGTGTCTGTGCGTGTGCGTGTGCGTGTGCGCACGCGTGCCTCACGCCCATCCCCCTCTTCTTTACAGCCGACAGGTGAAGAGGCGATCTCTCGAGTTGCGGGGCAAGACGACCCATTGGCCGGGCGAGGGCGGGCCATATATCCTCAGATGGTGGCGTTCCCCCCTCTCCGCCACCCAGTGCATGCAGGCCGGACATAGGGCGCGCCGTGCTTTTCGGCGAGGGGGCCGATTGACACGGGCGGTGCATCGAGCGAAGATCGGAATCGTACTGCATTTACAGAATACAGGAGTAGCACCAGACGAGGGTGTGTATTCCGCTCCAGCATTGCCATGCTCTATTCGCACCGTTTCTCCTGGCGCGCGTGAACGAGCCAGCGGCGGAGGCACAACGGACCAGACTCCGCACACCCCGCGTCGCCCTTGGACATCCGCCCCCCCCCCCCGCCCATACACTCTCTCCCTGTTGATGCGTGCGGGCGTCTTTTGGCAGGCAACGATCGTGGGGCCTTTCCGTGGGTGGCTGTTGCCGGCCGCAGACCCGCTCCAGCCGCTTCTATCTATCAGCCGGGGACACATTGCCACCACACTGGTGCCCCGACGCCGGGGCGGCGGAGATTCTCTCTTCCACTTCAATGTCAGGCTAGTGTCTTGCCCTGGTCGCCGGGGCCTTCTCGACAGTTGGTGTTCCCACCGAGAGCCATACCAAGCGCGGCCCGTTTGTCCGCTGGTTTGGCCCGGTTCCCCTCCCCCGGCGCCGGGGGCCAGGGTGCTCCACAGGCACCGAGGGAGCACGCAACACCTCTTTCCTCGCCCCTCAATTGCCACCTCCACCGCCGGAGCCAGCCCAGAAGCGAGTGCAGTTACCGCGGCCGGTGTCGACGCCGGTCGCCACTTGTCCCTTCACACCGAGGCTTTCCCGCTGTCGGTGCGAGAAAGGCGGGGGGGGGGGGGG